AAGGTGGTAGAGGCTTTTTATCGACGACATCCATTAAAATCAAGATAAAAATCTTTCTTATAAAAGAAATAAGATCAAAGTAAGATAACATTCTACTTTCAATCCTTGTTTGTAGCTTCTTTGTAGTTGTAACGCTGAGAAGATGGAGAACCAACAACAAGTGGATTTGACTCAAGAGCCTTCGTTTGCTGACCTGCCGGATGAGACATTACAATTGTCATAACCTTCAAGACAATGCAATCGAAATGAAGATTTTTAAGAAATGCATGTTCTTCCTTGAATAGATGGCGAGATACAACGCATTTGATATCACGACCTTAGAAGGGACTCCCGATATTTGGTGATTTTACTAGAGGTAGGAACAACTCTTCATGGTGTTCCAAATGTTTTATTCGAAGGAAGTTATGAAGGCCTCAATAATGATCAATTAATTAGATGGTCTTCCCGCCTTGGTATGAGACACTACCCATGATTGAGATGCCCTATCAATCATCTTCGAAGAGAACAAAGATCAGAGTATGTGGCGAATACAATTTGTCGCATCATTGATTTCCTCAACATATGATTACCACTCTTCGTGGAACTCGTGCCTAGAAGGAGGGGTAATGGTATGGACATACACATGTAAGCCAATTATTACATATATAAATAGGTAGAAATAAATAAAAGTAGTTAAAAATAAGTTAATTCTTTAGTTTTTGATATACAAGCTTTCTAGAAGCTTTATAGATGCTGCTTTGACTATATAGGTGTCTTTAATTGACTTATTAGGTGAGAAACGTGGTCAACAAGTTGGCCATGTGCCACACATGTTGTTAGCTTGAAGACCAAGCTAATTATGTGGCCCATACGTAGAAACACTTGCCTTGTAAGTCAAGGCATGTGTCCTACAAAGTCAACACATATTGGATGTCCTATAGAACTTCACCATGTAGCCCCTAATTGGATAGTATATATAGAGACAAGAGTGAAGTCTTCTTCACTCATGTCAACTCCTTTCTAACTTCTAGTCTAGTTTCAAGGGTCTCTAGTTTTCTTGGCTTTTGGCAATAGCCATTCTAGTTTCTTTCTTAATACACGTATCAAGTTATTTCTATTTTGTCATCTTTCTTTAAAAAAAAGTCTCACTTGTTATTTGTCTTAATCAAGTTCTTGTCCTTAACACACATGGCTTATTCAATATTTCTATGTAGTTCTTAAGTAGATAATATATATGAAGGCAAGAATGAATTTTTTCTAACTCTTATCAATACATTTTTTATGTTTTATCATGATTTAAGACTTTCTAATTGTTTTACATTTGGCAATGATTATTCAAGTTTCCATTCCACATCTATCTTTTAATTGTCTACTTTCTTTCTTTTGATAATATAAGAATGTATTATTGTAAATCTAATATTCAAAGTAGTTAAAATTCTTCTAAAGAAAAATGATTGGTCAATATCTTACTATTTATATTTCAAAAAATTGAGAGTTTTTGTTAGAAAATTTGAAATAGCATTCTTAATGTATTAAAAGACCATACTCTAGTTGGACTAATATAATTTGATAAATATTCCAATTAAATTAAATTTTGATTCAAATATTTGAAATCAAAATTTTAAAGCATTAATTTTATCACAAAATAATAAAAATTTGTATAAATAATAATCAAAAGGCATATATATATATATATATATATATATATATATGTATATTCTTTAGATTAGCAAATAATATTTTTTTAATATTTTAATTTATTTAAGCTCTAAGATTGTCATTCAAACATATGGTATTTAAAATATCTCTTTTCAAATGAATAAATAAATGATTATTATATATTCAGATAAAAAATAATAAATATATAAATTTTTAAAAATTATTTGAAAAATTGTTTAGTTTTTTTTACATTCAAAAAATTATTGTAAAAGATGCATTTAATGATTAAAATTTCTTTTACCTTATAAATTAAATAAATCTACATAAATAAGAATATAAAATATGCCTTAAACATACGATTCTAAAGTTATTTATTATATTCTATACAAATTCGGATAAAAAAATTATTTTAAGATTAAATTTATAAATAAATTTGTTTAATTTTTTTAATAAAATATCTTTTCAGAATATACTAGTAAGTGTCTACAAATTGCTTTTAGAAAGCTTAAAAGTTGAAATGCACTTGGATGCTATACTTCTCAAAATCTTCTGTAATCTTTTAAACACTTCATTTGTTGTTTAAAATGGATATTTGTTTTTCATTAGTTTTAATAGAAGATTAATTACATTAAGAGGATGTTTTGTAATTCTTTGAATCCCATTTAGAAGCTTTTATACAATTTAGTTGTTATAGTTTATATGAAGAAATAACAAAAATAGCACTTCAATCTTATCAAAAAATATTTTGAATCAATATTTATATTATCTTGTCCTTTATTTTATAATAGGACTTATTCTTAGTTTAGATTTTATTCATATATTTACTAATGAATTTTGTAGAATGATCTTCTTAATAACCATCAAACAGACTGAAAATTTATCTAACATAGACTTTATTATTTAGAAATATATCTATCTATATATATATATATATATATATATATATATTTATTTATTCAAAAAAATAATGATAATACTAAATTTGACCTAAATATAAAATCTATATTTTTTGAATTTTTTCAAAATTAATAAGTTGATGGTAGATTATTTAAATTTTTATTTTATAGAGCTGCATAAAATAGTAGATGATTTACTAAAAGCAACTTTAGAACAATATTAGTCTAATAGAGATGCTTTTATAAAAAAAGAACCATTATTTAATATAAATAATAAAAGAAAGTTTTGTTGACACACTATTAAAACTAATTGGCCTTATTACACATTAGACTATTTAAAAATTAGTTCATTAATAAACTAAGCTCTAATTAATTAACTTGTGTATTGGATACAATTATATTGATCAACAAAGATTTTATCTTATTTTCATATGTCTCTTCTAATTTTATATGATGATATATGTCCTAAGAAAAAATAATAAATACTTATTTTAGTTAAAAACAATAATAAAAAAATTCAAAGTGACATTAAAATAAACCAAATTACTTTGAATTTAGGTACACATATAATAAAAATAGATATTAATAGAAACTTTATTTAATAATTTAATATAATTTTTAGAAAAAAATAAGTTTTGATAGTATCAATTATAATTAAGAAAAATTAGTAATATCATTAAATAGATGACATACATAACAATATATAAAATAAAAAGCAATCAAGTCAACACTTTTTTTTTGTTTCTTTTTAAATTCCATTTTGGTATTTTGTATTTTTTAGATACTAAATATGTTATAAATTTGTCTTATACCATATTATTTTTAAAATCATTAAATAATCTACTTAGATTGTAACAACTTTTATAACAATGAGGTCAAAATTGAGATTATTGACAATGATATGTCTATTGAACAAATATCAAGATTTAATGAGTTTAATAGTATAACATTTAAAAACTCATAGTTGTTGTTTTCTAATATTATTAAAAAAATAACTTTATATCTAAGAGTATTTTAATTAATTCATTTAAAGATGATTATAATTCTTTTATAACAATGTGAATATAATAATAATAATTATTATTATTAGCATTATTTTTTATTTATTTTTTATTTATTTTTTATTTATTTATTTGTATAAAGTATTGTTTATTGATCAAAAGACCAATGAACTACTACCACTTAGATACGAATATGAGTTTCTTGTAATTTTTTATTTGGTTCACATGGACTTTCTCAAATTCTAATTTAATGTAATAATCAACAAAAATAATGACCAAAAAATAGTGACAATATTAAAGACACAAACCTATATCCATTGAAATCTTTTATTATTAATCCAAATTCTCTTAAAATATGCTATTGAATTTCCACAAAATTATTTTTAAAATCTTGAAGTTACTATGCACTTAAAAGTCAACACATATTTAGAAATTAAAAGGTACTAAAGAACTAAGATTTATATATATTCTAAGTCAAACAAAGTAGTTTAAGTTTATTATGGTATAATTTGATTATCATTATGATTTAATCACAATATCCTACTGATATCTTTTTCATGTTTCACCAACGGATGTTTTTGCATGTCGCAACTGGTCTGTTAAACAAGTGGGAGTGGGTTCCAAACCCTAATAGCAGAATCTTTCTGGGAGAATTGAGATGCAATGAAATGGATTCGCTGCTGCACATACAGTCGCATGCAACAGTAAGGTTGATGGGAATCGTGCTTGTATTTTTTTGCTCAACCGCACAAACACACACAAAGACACTCAAAGGATATGTTGCTCAACGGAGTGGAGATAGAAGGATTTCGAAGAGTTTTTGTGTTTCACAGTTGGGTCTTCCCGTGCAGAAGAAATTGTGAAGGGGTCGCAGCATTTCAGGCATTCGAAAAATACTTTGCTGGGTTGTTGTTTATTTCGTTGGTTTCGACGGAAATTGGCACCCACATTGACGCTGTCTGTCTGTTTGGCAAGAAAACCAAAATTCGTGGGACGGAACAGTGACGCCGCGGTGACTGAGGAGCGATATGGATGCTTCACAGAAACCTGGTTTGCATTATAGAGGGTCCAGCACATTCTTTTTCCAGGTCCTCTCGTGGGCCCAGTGAAGACGCCACTCTGGGAGACGTGGAGAACAGGGCGGACTGGATTGCACCTGCATCCTCGATTTTGCGACAGTTCCGGCGGTGAAGTGGATGTGATATGCAAAAACATCCGTTGGTGTTGAGGAAAAATCAAAGCGAATAGGAAAGATTAAGAAGGAAAAAGAAGGATGAGCGAGAGAGAGAGAGTTTGTGAATGATTGCAGGTGGGGGAGGAGGTGATTCAGGTGAAACTCCAAAAAGAGCTCACATGACGGTTCAGGTGGATTCTGCCACCCCAGATAGAAACGATGCCTCCGGATAATGAGCGCTAAAATTAGCACAATGCGCGGACCTGTGGTCTAGCCGTGCATCTTTGCTCCCGCTACACCCTGGGAGCCAGTTCCAGGATTCAGAAGTCTAATCTACGCATCGTGGAAGGGTAAGCTTGGCAGTGAGAGGGCCCATCTCGTGAAGGTGGAACACAGCAGATGGACAGCAGAGCAGGTGGAGCTGAGGTTTTATGGCACCATCATAGTGTCAGAGATTAGCAGAGACTTGCAGAGATCAATGCAGAGGTTGGTGGTCTCTTTTACCACTCTTCGACCAGAGTTGTTCCTTTGGGTTGGTGGTACTAAGTCTGTGGAGTTGAGCGCTGTTGTTAGCTCTGCTGCGTTGCTTTTTTCGTGTTTGCCCATCGGCATCGTCACATAGGTGGGTACAGTGGAGTGTGTTGTTGTATTGCTTTGGTGCTTTGGACGTTTGTGCTTGGTTTCAGAGATTTTGAGCTTTGCTTGTGGTGTGTGTGTGTGTGTGTGTCTCTCTCTCTCTCTCTCTCTCTCTCCCCCTGCTCGCTCGCTGTGGTAGGTTTGAGAGTCTAGTAAGGATCCGTTTGAAACTTGACTGAGAATGTGGGTGTTGAATGAGAGCTTGGTTTTGGAACTCATCTATCTGTTTCCTACTCGTTTCTGTATTATTCGAGGTGCTAACTTGCTCTGTGGAGTTCTACATCGTCGATGATCGTGTGTGATGCTCCTATGGGATCGTTTTCATTAAGCATCTGTGCCGGTATGTGCCTACGTCGTTGCTGTATCTGTGGATCGTTCTTCGGTTCTATCTGGGTCGTCTCATTTCAGGTTGGATTGTGGGTCCGTCACGCTTGGATTTGTGGTCTCATTGAGTTGATTGAACATGTGCTGTTGCTATGTTTGTTGTTGACGATGTGAGGCAACACGGAGTTTAGGTACCCTTTTTCTGGTGCCCAAGTCGTCCGCTATTCTTTCTTCCAAGTCTGTCAACATGTCACACATGTGGGGGCTTCCTGCTCCATCAGTGAAACATCATCCAGGCTTCTCCGTTCCAGGAACATAGATTACCTACGCTGGATCATTGCCGACTCTGCCGGCGTTTGTCTGTGCTAATGTCTCTTTCCCCGCATTGAAGTGACAGCCTCTGTAGGCTTGGCGCATCTATTACCTGTCCCGTGTTGGCTGTGATTTACTGAAACGGACATTATCAGTGTAGCCTCTTGCCCTCTATATCGCTAGATTGTGCAGTCGCGATATGGTTTTGAATCTCTGGTTTTCATGCACTTTGCACTCATCATTTGACCCTAACCTAGCCGTTTGTTGGGGGTTGACGTATCCGCATTCTGGTATTTATGTCACTGGATTTGCAATGAATTATGTCTCTTTGCTTATTGAGCTTTTGAAACGAGTACTTGGTTAGGCTCTCTGGGGATTTCCCATTCACGAAAGCCTCGCTATATGGATATATGATGTGTATTGACTGCATATGGATTCAGTCTCAGCGTCCGGGATATCTATGTAGGGGTACCTCTCTATTTGTTTACTTATTCTAAAATCTTTTCAACATTCTTAATTCTATGCAAGTTAAGTTTGGATACAAGCGTGCAACTGCCTATCTCATTTGAGATTAGCATCACGTATGTGTGCAGTTCAAGAATCATCATTGTGTTTAGTTCCTCATGAGATTGTCTGTGCGCGTGGAGCAGTTTGTTCGATAAGTTTGCGCTGTTTTTTAAAGTTTTTTCGCGCTTGTTCGACCATGGGGTCATTCAAGTTAGATAACCTTGAAACCTCTAGTGACGACGAATTTCATTCCGAATACGCTTGCAGATTTTTTCCTTCAGAAGATGGCTTGTATGAGTGGGGACTTTGTTCATGGGTCACGAGTGACACTTCAGAGACTGTCAATTTTGACCGGAAGGTTTTCTGAGTTTGTATGTTATGATCGTTTCATAATCTTTTGAAATTAAACTTATTTTAAACGTGAAAGTCTCCACAGATTCTTTTTTCTGCTGAATAAGCACTGGTTTGCTCCCGCTGGGTTACGACAACTTGGGCAATACCTTCCCTGAAGTCAATTCCGTCCAATGAGCCACGAGGAGAAGTATTCTGAGACGTTAAGACATGTGCCCGATGGTTTTTCGTTCAAGCAATTTGATCCTTGCAGAACGTGTTGATTGTCTTTACAGATAAGTGAAGTGCTGTCACGATGTTCAAAGCCTACAGGGTTGGTGGCACTGCTTTTGCCACTGAGCGGTCGTTCCGTCTGGTGCCTCTTGTTGTAGCTGTTGCAACACTATGCGGCATTTCATTCTACCTGGGGAACTTGTACAGCACTGAGAAGTCAAATATTGATGACGTGATTAAATCGGAAGAGCAGGTTTCTGGGAGGTCTGGAAATTGTTTCCAGGTTAACAAGGTTGATCCCTTTCCAGAATGTAATATCACATTACAAGATCACACTCCGTGTACCGACCCTAAGGTGAACATCTTGGAATCTTCTTTCTTTGTCGCCACAGCACTATGTTCTTGATACGGTGTCACTTCAGTCGTCAAGGTGTGTCGAGTTATATCGCATCTGGAAGCCTTAAGCTTTTTTTAATTTTTAGCTGATGTGTGTTCTATTTTGGTCTTGTAAGCAACGTCTTGGAAGCTGACAGAGCTTATGAGAGTTGCAGGTTTGACCACGCTCACATATATCTGTCAGCCAAGGCACAACGTATATGTGCTCATAATATTTTCAGTGTCCTCATTGATTTCCATCATGAACTCATTATAGTCCTTTGTTGGTTGCATCAGAGATGGTTTAAATACGACAAGCATCGTATGGCTTTTAGGGAGCGTCATTGCCCTCCACGCTCTGAGCGATTGCAATGTCTCATTCCGCCACCACCTGGCTATAAAGTTCCTATTCATTGGCCAAAGAGTCGGGATGAATGCTGGTACAGGTGGGTCTCAATTCCTCAAATCTCCTAATTTTCTGAAATACATGATTCTCCTGTCATAAATATTATGGCTTTGAAGGGTTCTAGATGATTGCGTGGCAGTAGTGTAGGTTTTTCTCTTGGCTTTTATAAAAATTGCATATCTGTTTTTAGATGAATGAAGCATGATGCAGACTTTCCCTTACTTCTGTGCAGTCGTTTTCCATGCAAAGTGTTATGTATGTTCCTCTTTTTGTGGACTAAGATGCTGTGCAAACTAGTGTTGTCTCTAACATGAGAATTCTTGATTCCACGTTCAGAAATGTTCCGTATGAATGGATCAACAGTGTGAAGGCCAATCAAAACTGGTTGAAGAAGAAAGGTGAGAAGTTTTTCTTTCCTGGTGGAGGTACGATGTTTCCTAATGGTGTGGGTGAATATATCGATCACATGGAGGAACTCATGCCAGGAATGAAGGATGGCTCTGTTCGAACTGCCTTGGACACTGGTTGTGGGGTGAGTTCTCACGCGCATAAACTTGGTGTAGAATCATAAACTTCTGGTGACAGGGCACTCCCGGTTTGTTCTGTGCAAGTTAAGGGAATTACGTCAATTCACATTACATTCTAGGTTGGTGCTTTATATGATGTCTGTGAAATGCATGGGTCGACCTAGTTGCATATATGTCCTGTTAAGTTGGAACAACTAGGGACTTGCACTTTTGATCTCCTTAGTGAACTCCACTGTGACTGCTTTCAAGGTCGACTTACCATCACTCTGAAGGAACAAAATTCACTTTGCAATTCTACTATGTTGTAGTTGTTTTTGTATCGCTGTGTCACGTTGGACTTTGTTCACGGTAGCGCTTCGGATGTCATGTGATTAGGGGTTCACTTCTTCATATTTTCAAAATAGATATGTAGGTGTGAACACTCAGATACCAGTCGAGCCCTGCTAAGATTTTACGTAATCATAGTATATAAACAGTTAGGAGCATATTGGAATGGAACAAATGTTTATGTTCCAGAGGGTAATGATGTTGTGATTTTTATTTCCAGGTAGCCAGTTGGGGAGGGGAGCTTCTGAATAGGGGCATCTTGACCATGTCTCTTGCTCCTCGAGATAATCATGAAGCTCAGGTGCAATTCGCTTTGGAGCGCGGAATTCCTGCAATGCTTGGAATCATTTCAACGCAGAGGTTGCCATATCCTTCAAATTCTTTCGATATGGCTCACTGCTCCAGATGCTTGATACCCTGGACTGAGTTTGGTAAGCTGCATTACTTCATGCCCTGAAACAGTAAAGATTACAGTTATTAGATGTCGATACAATGTTTTGAAGCTGCCATGTTCTTGCTATCAACAGCATCAACATCTGTAGTCCACAGTATATATATACACATATTTATGGACTATCGTTCAATCAATTGCTCTATTGGAAGCCATTCCTCGTATTACTCACTAGCTTGATATGTGACATCAGGTGGAGTATTTCTTTTAGAAGTTGACCGAATTTTGCGACCTGGAGGCTTTTGGGTTCTTTCTGGTCCACCAATCAATTATCAGACATGGTGGAAGGGTTGGGAGTCAACTGAAGAGAAAGAGAAGGCATTGCTGGATAAAATTGAGGATCTGGTGAAGAGGATGTGCTGGACGAAGTACGCAATGAAAGGAGACCTTGCTGTGTGGCAGAAACCTTTCGACAACAGTTGCTATGATGAGCGTCCTGAAGAGACCTATCCGCCAGTATGTGATGACGCTATCGAGCCAGATGCTGCATGGTACTCTATTTACATGTCTTATTACATTCCCGCACAAAACAATACGTTGCAGACCGCATCTCTGTGTTTGTGCCTATTAAATTTCGATTAATTGTAATGCTTATTTCTGAAAGTCGAATTGTTATATGTAGCCATTCTTCGTGAGTTGTACTGAGATGTGTATCTGCTTCCAAGCATTGACGCCTTTTCGATCCCTTCTCTTCAATATATTGGATAACTTCCGACAGATTAACCTGTCTCCTCCCATCTTTCAACAAAGATTAACTTCTGTAATCTTTTTTTCCCAGGTATGTGCCCATGCGGCCATGTGTTGTTCCTCAGTCCAAGTTAACGGAGAATATTGCTGTTGGTAAGATTGCTAAATGGCCAGCTAGGCTCAATACTCCCTCCGACAGATTGAAACTTGTAAACAAAAAAGTTTATGCATTCAAAGAAGACACGAAATTATGGCAGCAAAGAATGTCGCATTACAAGAACTTGTGGGCGGACTTGAGGACGAAGCAGATACGGAATGTCATGGACATGTACACAGAATTTGGAGGTTTTGGAGCGGCTCTCATCAATTCTGATGTGTGGGTCATGAATGTTGTTTCCTCGTACTCTGCCAACACACTAGGCATCGTCTATGATCGGGGCTTGATTGGCGCAGTGCACGACTGGTATCTCCCCCCTTCTCCCTTCCAGTATTTCATTAATTCTCAATGCATCTTTTCCAGTAAGAATATGAAGCATCGCAGGGTAGGGGCGTCTCGCACGAATTGTTGTTTCTCAACATCGTTCGCCAACTTGTTGAGGGTCTTGGGGTTTACAAAGAGGGTCACATTTAATGATATCATCATTTGTAGTGGTTGAGAGTACCAGTGATCTGTATGATGTCTAGTTCGATCTTCGTTCTCATGTTATACTGTGACAGGTGTGAGGCATTCTCCACGTATCCAAGAACGTACGATTGGATCCACGTCGCTGGACTTTTTACGGCTGAAAGCCACAGGTATATCTCAAAACTATTGTCGCTTGTTATCATCCGTCCGTTGCAGTCGTTTGACTTATTCCTCTTCGTGCACATTTCAGTCACAAGCATCCTTATCTTCATCTTATCTACTTGCTCTATCTTTCATTGTAAAGGGGCATGGTTTCTTCCCTTAGTCTCCGAAGTTCTCATCACTTCTCTGATATGCAGGTGTGAGATGAAAGATGTCTTGCTGGAAATAGATCGTATCCTTAGACCGGAGGGCATTGTCGTGCTGCGTGATGCCCTAAACTTTAGGGAGAATGCTAAAGTCCTGGGAGAGGCCATGCGATGGAAATGCTCTAGCCACGACACTGAGGTTGGTCCTGCTGACACTGAGGGTCTACTATTCTGCAAGAAAACCTTCTGGGAATCATCCGAAGCATCAACTGTTTAAATTTTCGCTGGCCCGCTTTTATGTGACCCTTGATTTGGTGGCCACTCTTCTACCACTGTCATACCTGTGTATAATCGCTACCAGCCCTTCAGCGCGCTGGATACCATGCCGTCTTGTACTTCTAACAAGTTACTGGAAAGCTTTTTGCAACACATGATAGCATGGTAACACAAGAATGACTTGGTACTCTAGATATCGCTGGGAATTTTAGTGAAAGATTCATATTATATATGATGTTTCAAGGATGTGAACTCTTGCAATTGACATCTATTTTTCCAAGTTTGAGAGGTTGTGGCTATTTCGCACCATTTAAACTGCTTTGGTATGAATATGCGGCACCATCTGGAGAAGTTTTCCTGAACCACAAAAGAATTTCCTTCTCTATCTTGTACGGCTTCATTTGTTTTGTAAGTTGTGAGGTTGCGTAGTGTAGTCAGCACTCTACTCAGTTGGGAAGCGAGAAGCTTAGAGCATGCTGATGAGTCACCTTTTGTTTCCACTTGTTTGATACGCAATTTATAAGGCCCTGTAGCCCAATCTTGCGGCCATTGTCATAGTATTTCCTCGATGGGTTACTGGGGCGACTGAACCTTCAGCTGTTCTGTGTTGTTGCGTAGCAATTATTGCCATTGTCCAGCTCATCTGCAGGTTGTTTATCCCACAATAGTATCCAAGAATTGGATACATTAAAAACGACTAACCTATGGTACAGTAAACTCAACATGGATCCGTGTAAGCTGTTAAACCAACCATTTTGAGTAACCATGACTAAGATAAACTGTCGTACAATATGGAAGAAAATCACCAAAGAAATAACCAATCATGTCTTCGATGCTTAATACTTGTACCACTGGTAATGCTTCTTTCATGGGCACTGTTCAAGTAAACTAGTTAATGTCTTCTAATTTAGTTACACATACTAGATAATACATACTAGATAATACCATTTGTTAATATGAATTTCAATTTCAAAGTAATTACAAGCAATTTGGAGTAGAATACATATGAAGATGTATCCAACAATAATATTTGATAATCCACTTAACATAAAATTTCTTACTTGTCATTTTATACACATTTATCACTAGCTTTCATTAAAAACTTTAAATTGTTGTTTTATCCTTTTCACTCAAGGTATATTTTTTCGAATTTCTTCTATATTTAAGAACTCTTTTTGTTGGTTATTTTCTATCTCCTTAGATGTGATCCTGTAGGTGCAAGGATCATTATATATATATATATATATATATATATACCTAATTTCATTAATTTGTTTATTTATTTGCCTTTTAAGCTCTAATAGGTAATAACTCAATCAGTTTTGATATCCAGGTGGAAGAGTTGCTCAAAACACGTGAAAAGATTCAAGAATCCTTCACTTCTGTACCCTCAGCTCCTAAAGAAGTGAGCAGCAGCAACATGGCAAAGGGATCTGGGGAAGACTCCTCACTTTTAAGCGCAGATGACAGCCAGTCTCCCACTTCAGAATTAAATGCTGAGAATGCTAAGAAGTCGAATAAGTGGTTTAATCTGAACTTCAAAACAAGTATGGGTTCCACTGGTAAAATAAGGGGTTCTAATGATTTTTCGATGAAGATCTAGACAACACATCGTAGAACCAGCTAAGCACTACAACGAGGTCTCTGAGGGGCTTCGATAACTGTGCAGAGAGGTTGACGAGGTCTCAGAGCGGTATCGATGACACAGCTGGGGTGTCGACATCCACAGCTGCAGCGTCAGGGAGATCATTGGGCAGGAGATTTTCTCGTGAGCAGTCGGAGAGATAGCAGATCTAGCAAGAAGAGGAGAGCGGAGGGCGCGGCTGGGAATGTTTGTTTTCGGTTTCATCATTGGCGCGAGATTAATGTGGACGGGTAGATCAGAAGATTGAGCAGGTCGTAGTCGAGGATTGAGCAATGACTGAGGATGTGGTGAGATCTATGAAGGAGCGGTAGCAGTGGGTGTTGTGGCAAGTTCTGCAAGGAGTTTGGAAATGCCATCAGTGTGGGCATCGCTGAGTTCATCTTGCTGAGCAAGTGCGGATTCACATGTGCATTTTACTTGTTTTATTTCGGTAGCAGCTAGCTCGAAGAACCGAGGAAGTGTTTTGTTCAGAGAAGGATAAGCTGTAGAGTTAAACCAGGAAGAAAAACAAATTGTAAGGGTGCTTCAAAGGACACATCTTTGTAGAACCAGCGAAGCACGACAACAAGGTCTGTGAGGGGAATCGATGATTTCGAAGCGAGGTGAAGGAGGTCTGTGAGGGGTATCAATGATACATCGTCAATGGTACCTGAATTGGATATTGATGAATGAAACCAGGTGAGGACCCTAACCCTAGCCCTAGACCTAACCCAGCTGAGGACGACAACGAGGTCTGTGAGGGGTATCGATGAAACAGCTGGGGCGTCGACATTCACATCTGTTGCGCGAGGGAGCGCATTCGACAGGAGACTTTTGCGTGTGTAGTCGTAGAGGTTGTCGAGGAGAGCGGCGGGCGCCGCTATGAATTTTTGACTTTAGGGTTTTTCTTTGCTGGCGCAGGATTAGAGTGGATGGGAAGATCTGAAGTTTGAGCAGGTGTTAGGCACGAATTGAGCCATGGCTCAGAAAGTTGAATATTATGAGTTGATGCGTGATTCACTGCTTTTTGAGCCCGTAATGTGAATGCTTTTAGTTCTTAAGAATCTGAAGAGGACATTGTACAAGTGCCCAAAATTGATAGAATCCACTATCCGTTGCTAGCAGGTTTATTGTTGGAGAGCTTTGGATTTTTTTGAGCATTATGTTGGATTAGTAGATTTGAAGGTAGAACTTTTTAAGGTAGGAATTGCTTGATGTTAGCTTCTTGACAAGCCTAGGATCATTAGTCAAAGTTGAACGAATTTGTGACAACAAAGCAAGTGATTATTGACAAGCCTAGAATCATTAGAGTCAAAGTTGAACGAATTTGTGACAACAAAGCAAGTAATTATTGCATGGGCAATTTGGATCACATAACTTGTAAGGAGCAATTTTCAAAGTTCAACCATGCAATTGTTGTGAATATTTATGTTGTTGTAGTTGCTTAAATTGATATTTTTAATAAATTTAAGATTGTCATGATCATTTGTATCAAGGTAATTGGAGTAATTGGTGGAGGAAAGTTAGAACTTAAAGTAAGGGATGTTGTATTTAAATTGATAAGGTAGAGTGTTAGATAAGTAATTGAATGTTAAAACTTACATGTGAGTTAGTAAGAAGCATAAGCATTTCATTGTGTTTTGTATAGATGTAAAAAGGTATCATGGACAAACATATTTATTTATTTAATTATATAGAAGTAAATAAAAGTAGATTGATTTTATAATATCTTTTAAAAAAGTTTTTTAGAAGTTTCATAGATGTGATTTTGATTTTACGTGTGTTTGTAATTGATTGATAGATTAGAAACTTGATTAATAAATTAACTATGTGTTACATGTGTTGATAGTTTGTAGAATAAGCTAATTATGTGGCAAATATATAAAAATCTTACCTTGCAAGTTAAAACATGTATCTTACAAAATTAACACATGTTTTATTGAACATTATCACATAACTCATGATTAGAGAACATATATGGATATAAGAATGAAGCTTTTTTCACTTAGTCTTGTTTCAAGACTTTCTAATCTTCTTTTTTTTTACAATATCTATTTTAGTTTAATATATTATCGTCTTTAAATGACTTTCTAATCTTTTTGAATGATACAAGAGTATATTGAGTTTTCTTTCATTGAGATTCATATCTTCAATAGTTTGACAAAAATCCTAATTTATTATTTTTGTTTTGTTCTAGAAATGAGTGAATTACTTCATTTTTATTCTTGCATTTTTGAAGGCTGTTGACTATCCATATTTAAACTAATTAATAATTTTTTAATATTGATTTTTTTTTCTTAAAGAGAGTGGATTACCTCTCTTTGTAAAAATTTTCATTTGATATTAGAAGTTGTAAATAATCTTCTTCTAATTTAATTTTTTGAATTTTTTTGAATTGTCTATAGAAGAAAAAATTATAGATGCTACTCTTGGTAGAAATAAGAATAAATTTGTAACTATTGCAGATCTTCACAAATTTATCAATACTCTTAGAATGAAAATCTCATGTATTTTTAAAGTAAATAATAGAGATACTATTTCTACATCCATGGAACAAGTCAACAATGAAGTTTGAAGTCTAAATTCAAAAATTGTGGAATTAAGAAAAGAAAATAGATCAAGTTTATAATTGAATCCAAAAAAATTTGCTATTATAAATATAAGAGAGACATGAATAAATATATTACAGAAGTTTGATGGAATAAGATCAAAGTTTTGAGGGTTTTTACAACAAATAAAGCTCTATCTAAGGTTGCATCCTTCTCAATACTTTGATGGATTTATTCAAGTTGGATTCATAAAAATACTTCTTTTTGAAAATGTTTTTTTTTGGTTTTCACTTTTAATAGAAAAAGATTCACAACAACACTATGATTTGAATTTATTCTTGGAGGTATTTAAAGCTACATTTAAAAAAATGATAAAAAAGAATAGTAAAAACCAAGTTCCTATTTAGCCTCCATGACATCTTCTACAATATCCTTTACAACAAGGATCACATTTAGTCACCACATATATTGCTGAATTCTAAAATTTTACTTACAAAGTCGATTGGAATGATAAAGCCCTTATCAATCAATTTCAATATGGATTGAAAGATAATATCGAAGATTTATTATTGACAATACTAAGAATAGATTCATTGGAGCAATTTATTGCTCAAGCAATTCCACGTGAAAAACAACTCTTTGAAAGATATTAAGAATAAAGATTTGGTTGAAGATGTATAAGTCAAGCTATGATAACATCTTCTAAGTTTTTAGAAGCTTACTTATTAAGTCCAAAGGCTATGAAAATTGACATAGTATATTTTAAAGCTCTTATTGAACAAGAAAAGAGTTGTCATTATTAAGAAGATTTATATCTATATTGTGGAAAATCCAAACACATTGCTCAATATTATCCAAAAAAAAAATACAATCACAAAATGAAGAGTATGGTTTCCAAAGAAAATAATGTATTTAAAAACAAGTTTCTTCAACTGTTATAGAGACACTGCAGCTAAAATCTTACATAATACCTAATAAAGATCATATTCTCTCCTTAGATCCATCAACTTATTTTATAATAAAAGTTTTTTTTGGATTGATAAATCATAATGTCTTAGCCTTATTAGATTAAGAAGCCTTAATTTGTTGTATAGATGAAGATTTTATTAAAAAAAAAAAAAAAAAAATCTTTAGTTAAAAAAATCAAACTTGTGTATATAGAAATAATAGATAATTATTTATTATTTTTTAGATATGTTATATATAAAATTATTCTTTTAGATATAGTAAATAATAGTCATAATAGTTTAATAATATTTAATGTAATTAGATTTTATTTTATCTCAATTATTTTAGGATTATCATAGCTAAAAAAATATAATTCTTAAATACATTAGATTTTTTGTAATCTTAATTTTTTTTTTAAATTTTATTCAATATTTTGCTAAGCAAGTAGAAATTCATAAGGCTAATACATTTAAATTATTATTGATTGGTACAAGAGCTTTTATCCATACTGCAAAATATATGTCAAATTTTGCTATATATTCTATATCTTTTGTTGATGGAAAAAAGATTTCAAATAACATTCCAAGCCAATATCAAGATTATTAAGATGTTTTAAAAAAATATATCAATATTTTTTTAGTACATTGTATCTATAATTGTTTCATTAATCTTCAAAAATGAGCTCAAATACCACCCAAATCAATCTATAGCCTATCATAAAAACAAGTTGGTTGCACTTAAGAAATACATTGATAAAAATTTGGCTAAAAATTTAATATGCCATTCTAAATTTTTGATTGGCTTTCTTATCTTATTTGTGAAGAAAAATCAGAGATCTCTACAGATGTGTATGGACTATCAAAGATTCAACAACATCACCATAAAAAATAAATATCCTCTACTTTTACTTTTAAGTCTTCTTATTAAATTAAATCAAGCAAAGATCTATATAAAAATAAATCTACAAAGAATATGTACCTTGGTACATATTAAAGAAGGAGATGAATATAAAATTACTTTTTCAACTAGATATGAACATTTCAAATATAATTTCATGTCTTTTTGGATTTATGAATGTACTAATCTCTTTTCAACATCTTATGAATGAATTTTTTGTGAATTTTTTGATGATTTCATCAATTACTATTAAAATGATATTTTAATCTATTCTAAGAATACAAAAGAATATAAACATCATATTCATTGTGTATTGTAAAAACTTAAAAATGCACAATTATGTACCGAGATGAAAAATATATATTCTATACTATTCAATTGACTTCTTAGGATACATTATTTCTAACAAAGTATCATAGATATATATCTATTATAATAATTATTTAAATAATATAAATAAGTAAAAATAGGTAAAAATAGATCAATTTTATAATATCTTTAGATACTTTTTAGATACTTTTTAGATGCTATTTTGACTTTATATATATTTGTAGTTAATTAATAGATTAGAAACTTAGTCAACAAGCTAACCACGTGCCATATGTGTTGGTAGCTTGTGAAATAAGTTAACTTTGTGGCATCCATATGGAAAACTTATCTTACAAGTTAAGATACATGTCATGCAAAGTCAATACGTTTTTGGAGGTCTTATAGAATGGCACTACATAGATTCTAGATAGATAGTATATATAGAGGCAAGAGTGAAGTCTTCTTCATTCTTATCAATTCTTTTCTTACTTCTAGTCTAGTTTCAAGAATCTCTAATTTCTTTGTTTTTTAGCAATAGCCATTTTATATATATATATATATTTTATATACATAATTTTTTATTTCTATTTTGTTATATTTCTTTGAAAGAGACTTAATTATTTATTTTCTTTTCTTGATTTTTTTTCTTGATAAATTAACAAGAATATATTTATAATATCAAAGCTTTATCTTTTCTTAATTAAAAATAGATTATTCCTTTATCTTGATAAGCCTTAAGCGTATTAAGAATTGTGGATTATCCTCTTTTAAATTGATATTGTCATTAGTATTTTTTCTTTATTTTTAAGCCTTCTCTTCTATTTTTCTTAAGTAATATTAAACATCTTTTCTTCTTTAAGTGTTATCATGGCACAATTTTTTGAAATCAAGAGTGGAATAGCACAAATGCAAGAGCAATTGAGGGAGTTAATGCTTGAAATGCATCAACTCAATTTACTGCCACAAAGAGCAATAAGAATGGTAGGAAGCAAAGATAAAAAGATGATTGGAACTGCTTCAATATCTGCACCAAATCACGTCTCTTTTTTTATGGTATAACATCGTTTTAGTGTTAGAGAACCAATGATTGCACTACCTGAGAAGCTCCATAGTATAAGATCCAAATTTTGAGGACTTATTAATCAAGTACAACATTTGATTGAACTTCAATTCCAAAGCTATGAAATTCTAAGATTGCAAGTTAGATTCATTGATATACTCCTTTTAGGTTCAACATTATCATGGTTTTCATCTTTTTCTTGAATGACAAGATCCAATATTATATAATTTGAAGGCTTTTGTGGCGGAGTTTCAATTCATGTATGAAAAACATAATGTAATTTGTATTACAACCAATATAATCCATATATTGTAATAAAGCAATTGATTGATAATATTATATATTTTATAGTTTTTACAACTTGCAATTGATATCAAATGAAATGATATTATATTTTTTAGCCAATTTTTCTATAGATTATAATATGAGGTAAAAAAATTGATGCTCAACTTACTTGATCCTCAAACATTGAGTCAAGCAATTGACTTTGCTATAAGGTTTGACAATAGATTTTTTGAATTTTGATCTAAGAATCCTATAAGTACATCTAAGCGTTATTATAATTCAATGAAAATGCCAATGTCTTTTCAATATATACATTTGAAAATA